GAAATTAAATTGCATCCGAACAATAACACAGCAAAGACATGAATCTCGACAATTCTGTGAAGTCATCTCATCCACACTTATAAAACCAAATTATTTAATTTAATGCTAATCTAGTGCGGTCATGGTCTTTCATCATTAGTATGTCAACAACATCATCTTCTTCAATATGCACTAACATCACCAACATCATCACATCATCAACATCCTCATGACGAACATGATTACATCAGCACACCATTGTTAAGTCTGTTGTTGTTCCTTCATTTGATGTTCATGAAGTAAATTTATTTCAAAACTTTTATAAAATTGTTATTCATCAATATTTTTGCCTGTACGCTTGTTTTTTTTTAACAGATCTGCAGCTTTATTTAAAATGTTGTTTAGTCATTCTGTTGAATTCTTGTTTGGTCCTCATAGCAAACTTCTTTGATGAAGTTATAAATATACATTACATATATTCATTACATTACATAAACTTCATGTGTTTGTTTATAGCCATGTTGATTTTGCTTTATAGAGGGTATGTTTGAATAATTATTCATTTTATTTTAATTCTTTTTTAAATGTATTGACTAACAAATTGATTTCATTTGTTTGCTTGTTTTATAAATTATTTATTTGGCTTTCCATGTGTTATATTTGAATCTGTTTGAATTGTTCACTTTTTGTCTGGTGTGCTTGCGTGACGACGACAAACATTTGTTTTGAATTCCAATGGAGATCATCTCTTTTTGAAAAATTATTTTGTTTTTACGTACATATATACGTATTTAATTATTTATAAGTTATTCATAAATATTTATAAATATTTATAAATGTTTAGTATGTATATTTGAATTTATAGATTTTTATGTGTGTGTAAAATGTGCACAATTATTCAAAAATTTAGAAACATACAATAAATAAATAAATAAATAATTGAATTTAAATAAACACTAACCTTTAAAAAGACAGATAATTTTTACACACACACCATACACACATATACACACACTCACATGCACACACACACACACATACACATCTCTCTATTTTTTTATTTATTTAAAATTATATATTAATACGCTTTGAAATGCTTTTTTTAAAAAGTTTTTTGTTTGCCTCCAGTCAACCAGGTGTTCTTCATTTTTTTTTATCACATGTTTCTTCGATTTTATTCATGCTTTTTGGCATTTTTTGAATAAACAAATAAAATTATTTTAGGCTATATTCGAATTATATATGGATGCCTATCCTACAGGTAGCAGAGCTAATTCCACAGGATTTTAAAAATAAGAATAAGCCCTCAAACTGAAAATGTTCCGACACTGACAAAGTTGAATTTCAGCCTTGGTATTTCAACCGTTTTTTCACTTAAATTATCACATTCCATCGTTGTACTGAATATAAATAAACATGATGTTGGGGTATTTTTGACTCCTAATCATTTCCAAGGTGAATGATTGGTTAGAAAAAAATTAACAAATTATTGCAAAATTAATCGTTAAATTTCTAGATAAGGTCAGTTCAGCTTATTATTATTATTATTATTATTATTATTATTATTATTATTATTATTATTATTACAATAAATTAAACTACTCTAAAGGTGGTTGATGGCTTCAAATTCTAATCCGTTTTTAAACATGACCTTTGTTCATCAATGCAAATATAAATCATTATTTTAACTTTACACAAATTTTTTCAATGAAATTATTTAATGTTCGATAGATCTCACATGGAATCATACTTATAGAACAACATATATGGGGATCAGCAATATTGAGCAGTTGATAATATGATGCTCAAAAGCGTCTTCTAATAATTAAAAACAATAATTTTGGGAAGCAGAGATAAATAAGCTTTTAAATTTTAACCATATATAAGTTGTACAAAATACTCAAATAGTAATGTTTTTATGACATATTATAATAACATATTTATAAAATAAAACTTCTGAAATTGTTCAAAAAAGACTTCCTTAATGCTGAGTGGGGGAAAGTTACGAATGTCATTTCAAACTTCGATGGCCTATTTTTTTTATTTTCGGGCGTCAGTCAAAACTGTGCAGAGGAAGTAGTTTGAGAAAACTAAGCAGAAATATCTGAATGAAACATCGGAATGATATATTTATTGGAGACTGGTGAGGTGTTCCAGGCCAATTGATAGGCGGCAAGATAAAAAAGATGCTGGAAACTGTAAATATAGATTTGATTTTGTTTATTCTAATGTAAATTTACTAATTAATTAATTAATTAACTAAATTGAATAAGCATAACTGGAGCTATTAGAATAATTAAACTTGTGAAATTGTAGTACAATTTGGAAAACTATTTTAAAAAATTTTGGATATTTTGTTTCATGAAAAAAATACTAAAACGTATCAAACTGCAGATGTTGGCAATAATGAAAATTATATAAACCTGAAATGAATTATTAACCTCATGTTTGAACAACAAACACCGCTGTATTTGGTGACCAACCTTTCACAAACCGATAATATAATTGTGTTGTAATTCATTGTGGCACCATATCTCCAGCCATGCAATTGTATAATCAGCAAAGTCCATTACAAACTTTCATGCATATATATATATATATATATATATATATATATATATATATACACCCCATAAAATTTTCCATCCTAGACTCCAGCTTTTTCAACCTATTGGTAAACACGGCGCTGAGCGTGGTGAAGTAATGAACTGCAGTAGTTGGTGATATTGAAAGAGAAGCGGAAATGTAAGCGGGGTCGGTATTTTAAAAATGTGCCTAACCCCGCTAGCCACGTCATCCACCCTCTACCACCACCACCACCAACCAACCAAACTACTCACAACCTCCGTCAAGAAGTGAACGTAACTATCTAGTTGCCACCCAATCAGCTTATCAGGATATG